CAAATATGCTATTGTTACTTGGCTTATGCAAAACCAAAATTAGAATTCATATATCATGCTAAAAATAACTCGTGACTAAACCAGGCCTTTTTAAACTCAGCCTCTCCCAAAGTAGATGTTTTGAAATTTGCTTTAATGGGTTTATTTTTCAACTACAGCAGCACATATTTTGATGTTGGAGTCTCTTCAAAGCTGATTATGAAATGCAAGAACAAAAATAAGAATTCTTGCCATTTGAATCTGGTCTTTCCAATCCTGTGTGTGTGTGTGTGTGTGTGTGTGTGTGTATGTGTTGTATTTGTGCTGATAAATAAATAAAATAAATATTTATAAATAAATATATATATGCTGTTTTATACTTTTTATTAAGATTATACAGATTCATTGTTCCATCGGAGTGTAAACATAAGCTAACCTTGCTGTTTTAAATAATCTGAATAGAATTTGATTTAGTTATACCTGGACGAAAGAGCACTAGGAAATCTCAGCACTATAAATTAGTAAGAGTAGCCAAAACATCTTGGAAGAAGCCACTTCTGTTTTCTTTTATTAAGTAAACCAGGGGTCCCCAACTCCTGGCCCACAGCCCACAAATGAGACGTGGCCTATTCGGAATTGGGCCACATGAGTCGCTGGCCGAGGCATGGTGCATGTGCACATGCGGAGCTCAAATTGCATGAGCGCTGGGCACACGTGCGCGCCAGCTTACGGGTTATGCAAGTCAAGCTGTGAGTGTGCACACCAGTCCACCACTTGCGTGGCCAGTTCCCTTCTCCACCCACCAGCTGGGCTGCCAAACCATAAAGGTTGGGGACCACTGAAGTAAACTTCACATATGTGCCCTAAACGTCACCATGATTCAAACTCATCTCAAAGGACAAATTATTAAAGGACAAGCAGAGTGAATAGAGAAAGCAGTTAACCGTAACAACATTCTTTCCCAGGTTGGAATGTAGTGTAGTTGTAGAGGAAGAAAGCAATGGAAGGACAGATGAATTAAATTACAGTGGCAGTAAAGAGATAAATAAACTTATCCTAAGAAAAAGCCATTTCAATTACCCCAGATATGCCTTGTAAATTGTCAAATGGTCTGAACAGGCCAATGCCAAAAAAGATTTTGCCAGATCTGCTTCATCTTTTCTTCCAATTGGGGTAGTAAATGGAGACTTTTCGGTCATTACAGCTGCAATAGTAGCCTACAAAATATGACAATATACAGCAACATTTATATTTTTACTCATTTGTTTTTTTTAATAAAAAATTTTTTAGAATAATGAATAAGGTCTCTATCACAGGACTGAACCATATGAATGCATATTGAGAATAAGCTGTTTACACATCAAAAGCAATGCAATCACAAGAGCAGCCCAGGACTGGGAACTGCAAACATCCTATGCAAAGAGCTTACTTCCTTGCTCTTGATGTGTAGAAGATCAGCTTTTTCTCCAGAAACCTCTTTCTCTCCAATCTCTCTTCTCTTAGAGGTGGAAGGGGACAAAAAAAGCAATCAATTTCTTTAGGCAATCTGTCCTTTGCCCGATTGTCCAGCCCCACCTCACAGAGCAGAGAGGTTGAAGAGAAAGACAATTCAAGAGAGAGTATGATGTTTTCTGCACATCAAAATGAATGTAATCTTGCCAGCAGCAGAAAAGGTCAGGCAGAGATATTGGCTACAGAAATAACTGGGGTATTTTTTTCTACCCATCTCTTGCAAAGCAGAGATTGGAGTGAAAGAAATTTCAATAGAATAACCTGTTCACCCATGGACTACTCAAGTGCCTGCTTCCAGTGTGTATAAGACAGTGACTACTAAAAACGGTGGGGGTTAGGAGGCAAAGTAAATTGAGTAGCTTTATCTCCTCCCAGTCAGAAAGCAGAGTCATTATTTCTCACTTAGTGACCACTTCGATCAGTGGCGAAGTTTCTGGTTCCAATTACACAAGAAACAGTTACACAAGAACCACCTGTAAGATGCTGGACTCTGGGAAAGGGTTAGCGACATTTTCTGATGCTATCATGAAACAAAAAGATTTGCAATTCCTATACAATCTTGTGAGATTTTAGAACTCAGATATATTTCATGCTATTTTGATATTTTATTTTAGATGCTATGAGCACTTTATGAGGATGTACAATGCACAATACTACAAATTTGCCAAACTTTTAGTGAGGATTGTCAGAATCTAAAATCTTGAAGGAAAGATGAAAAGTTCTATATGAAAATAATATAGAGAGACATAATAAAGTGACCAGACATTTATGAACGATTTGGAAATGGGCCAACATTTTGTTCTTCAAAGGTCGTTGGATTTCAAAAATCCCAGAATAAACAATGAGCATTAGTTTTGCACTGAATCAGCTGAACTGGTATTTTAAATACCATAAACAGTATGTAACCTACCAGTCAGTATAGAATAGGTTCTCAGATTAACATTTATTTCATGAGCTCTGAGCCTGCCTTGGCAAGTAATGGGCTACTCATTTTAGTCATCAACTTACCACTGGATCCAAGCAGCCAAAAATAGCACCAAATATAAGCATTTTACCAATCTTTACATTGACTGGTAAGGCTGCAAGATGTTGGCCTAGAGGAGTCAGCTTAGGCTCACTTAATTCACAAGCCCCAATTTTCCTCAGAAGATACATGGCTTTGGCAACAATTTGATTCTGAGGTGGGTCTAATGCCTTGGAGAGGAATTCTTCAGGAGAACCAAGATTACATTTCTACAGATAAAACAGATTAAAAAATAAAATAGAATGAGCCTGAAAAGATATATAACTCTTATTCATTCCCACATTTAATCAGCATTCTAGCTACTTCTAAATTATTTATTTTCATGTTTACTACCATAACATATACACTATACAGTATGATGGGATCTCGGGTTTCAAAGTAACTTAGTTAGCATATAGGTTCCATGCATATTGATATAGGAATAGGGTCTATTTGTTATCTTTGTTCAGTCAGCTATATATCTTGAACTCATATAATTGAACTACAGCAACCATAGCGTCTCTTTGTCCTATCTTGGAACTATATGAATAATATGTTAAGATAAAGCAAAGCTAAGTAGTCACTTCCCATACACCTCTGTTTCTAAAACTAGCATCCACATCTAGCACCTTTAGATTTATGCCAGGATTTCATGCTTGCATGGGATATATATATACACTGTACAAAAGCCATAATACTTATTTAATAAGTCCTGGTTTATTTTTCATTTATGAAAACACACACTATTCAAAACATCTTTTTTAAATAGGAATGGTAAATATGATATTACATAATTGTCTATTCCTTCACCTCTTTCTTGTTTCCATATATCATATGGGCATTTAGATTATGACTAAACGTTCCTACCAAGAGATTACAATTTCATGCAAAAAAAAAAATTCTTATTTAGAAAGGTAAACAATTGCAATACACTTAGTCAGATTCTCAAGGTTTCCTAGTAAATCAAAATAATGAATATTTAACACTGAGATATCATACCATGATGTGAAGACACAGTTCTTCTAAGGGAACACGCAATATTTCGGGAACTGAATATTCTAGGAAACCTTCAAATCTGAAAAAGCCATAAGGCGAAGAGCAAAAGAAGTGATTTAAGCTGCTACATTCCAATATTTATCATGGAACTTATAATGTATAAATACCTACAATTACAATAGGAATCATTCATTTGCATTCATTGGCTAGTTTAGTTCTGTAGTTTCTCCCAAAGGATTATTCATCTTTCAGTGAAATATAATATGGTTAATAAACTTTGCATCTTTGTAGTGAGACAATTTAATAGGTAAATGAATTATCATAACAGAAGTGCTACAGTTTTAGCAAATGCTTCCATCTTGAACATAGAATACTTTGATGGTTACAATAATTTTACCTGTCTCGGGTATAGAGTCGAAAGCAGAATCCATCTCTGACACGCCCTGCTCGCCCCTGACGTTGTAGTGCACTAGCTTTACTGACAAAAGTCTCTTCCAATGAGCTCATCTGACTACTCTCATGGTACCTGGAACAAATATTAAGGAAAAACATTGGGGGGAAAATGTTCAGCACATACAACATTATTAATACTAAACTTAGTAACTCTCCACATAAAGTAGAACACTATTTTATATTTTCTCCTCTGTAAATGACTACTTCTGAAAACATAAATAAGTAGTTTCAAGCACAGAAAGCCATGCCTATTCATTGTGATAGGATCTATAACCAAACAGAAAAGGGAACCGGTTCAGGAGGATTGCAGTTATTGTTTCCATTATCTGCACAAACCTAAATGCCATCCCCAATTTCCCCCACCCATTCCACCTGCAGTCTCCTTAACTGCCTAACTGGAAAGAAAGAAAAACAAAAAACAAAAAAAACCCAGAGAAAAAGGTTTGTACTTAAGAAACAAAATAAGTGATCAGGTTTTTGGTGAGTATACCACTTATTTATTCTTCAAGTCAGTTGATTTAATAAAACACTGTTTTGAGGGACAAGGTGCTATTCTAGAATATGTATAGTACGACATTTTTCTAGTTATCACATAAAAAATAAAAAACTTCTAATGCATTAAAATCTCTATTGCAAAAAAATCAATCTCTAATGAAATCTTTTTTAGTGAAAAGTAAGTGCTTTCACCTGTTTTCCTTTGTCTTTCCAGTGTCAATTACAAAAACCACATCAGGTATAGTAATACCTGTTTCAGCTATATTGGTGGCCAAAACAATCTGTAAAAGAAACACAAATGCTTTTAAATATTCACATGTATTTACAAGTTTTTAACTTTTAGCACGGGAAATTTAACTTGAGATAAATACTGTCTTTGCTCTAAATGCAAGGCCTTTGATGCCACGTTTTTCCACTCTTTATGTAGGGGAGGAACAATTTCTATATGTATATATTTATATCCCATTCTTTTTACAAATAACTGAAGGTGGTGAACATACCTAATACATCTTCCTATTGTCTCCACAACAACCATCTTGTGAGGTGAGTTGGGCTGGGAGAGAGGAAGTTACTCAGCCACCTTTCATGCCAAAGGCTGGACTAAAATTCACAGTATCCTATTTTTTATCCTGAAGTTTTAACCATTAGACCAAACTAGCTCTATTTTGCATATTCCCAAAAATATATATTTTAGGGAATGAAGGGTGATGCATGAAAACTGTGTATGTGAGAGTCTGTGAGCTAAAATTAGGATCCAAAACAACTGATTCTAATTATGCTTACAATGTATTTATAACATTTACTCTTTTATTAATAAAATAAAATGAGCCACTTTAGGATAATCTATGCCCTGGAATCAGGGATTATAGAATGAATAGTATAGGAGTGTCAAACAGGAGGCCTGCAGGCTGGATGCCTCACGTGCAGGCCACACCGACAACAGCACTGCAAAGGGAAAAAACATTGCGATATGTCATGTGACATGCCGAGTTTGACACCCATGGAATAGTACATTGATTCTCTTTGAAGTAATCCCAGTATTTCGCTTAACATAAATACTGCACAACAGAGATCTATGACTGGGGAATGAGATGCAATTGTTTGGAAAGGTCCCAGCTATAATTTTAAGGAAGAGTTTTAGTATTAAGAATCAATCGAGAATATTTTATCCTGGATGGATCAGAAATAATGACTAAATAGAGCTGAAGAAGTTCATAAATTGTGAACCTGTTTTGCAAAAAGGATAACTATTATTGTTGAAATATATTTATAAGCATACAATTAGGGGGCATGTTTTTTTTTTTTGTCTTTATGCAGTTTTGTTTTGTTACTACTCCTTTTTTCCCTTTGGGAATTGTATTTTAACTTTAGAAATCAAATTTTAAAATATTTAAAAAACCAAATACTGCAGCCAAAGTAACTCAAATTGAATGTTATTAAGATACTTTCCAAATTTTTATATGATCTTCATTGACTTTTCAGAAACCTTTGTTTCTCGTTTCAGTTCAATACTAATCAAGACATTTTATTGCCTTAATGTATTAGTTTTTAACATGCTACTACTTAAGTTAATTTTAATTCAGGCTGCTGACATCATTGTTCATTGTTTCAATTTAATGCATTTTAATTATTTTGCTTCACTGCATATATAAAATAATGTAAATATTAATTGCTTTAAGCAGTTGCCTTGGTTATAATCTGGTGAAGATGGTGTACATATTTTAATAGTAAAAATAAACTGAACTACAGCTTACTCCATTCAAATCAGCAAAAATGTTCATGATGATTACATTCAATTAGTATTAACTATTATAAGTAGTATCTTCGTAACAAATTCTATGTTAATACAGTGTTGAGTTATTTTAACAGGAATGGGAAACTTGTGGTCCTCCTTATGTTGATGGAACAAACTCCTTTTATCTCACTTGGTCATTGTGAGATAAATGTCCCTTCCAGCTTATGCGAATAGACTATGCGAATAGAAGACTAATGTAATTCTGAAGGGCAGCTTTATTCTTTACCCAGGGATAGATGCCAGGCTTAAATGAACATTTCAGAAGAATGTGGAAAGAACTAGCATTCCAAGATTGCAACACTGAACATAAGATCACATTAAAAGTATTTGGGGTACACTCAGTCTTGTCTCTTTAATCCCTTTCTTTAAAATACATGAAAAGCACCATGCATGACACAAAAGGCTGAAAAGAAGATCATGGATCTTGAGACACAGGGCAAGATATCAGTTCATGTATATTAATACCTTAAGCTTACCTTTCTAACACCAAAAGGAGGCAATGTAAATGCAGATGCTTGCTCTTGAGTGGACAGAACAGAATGCAATGCTACTAACTGGTGTCTAAAAAATTATAATGCAAAAAAAAAGTATTGTTTTGACTCATAAGACAAAAACTTGACCAATCAATATGTCTTGATACATTATGTGAATATTAATACTATATATTATAAAAATGCAAAACTATTATTTCAAAATGTTTAACATTACCAATGAAAATCTTTCATTTAACAGCTATTTTAATATTTATACTTGCTAGTTGTGTTATGAGCAATATGAACTGATTTATCCATTACTTGAGACCATTTCAGAATATTGAAAATGTTTACAATTAGACAATTCAGTTTTATATAATTTATTTTATATCCAAAACTAAAGTCCACTATGGTAAAATCTATTTTGATGTTTAGATGGGTAATATGCATTTAATAAAAAATTGCATATTAAATAGCTAAAATTTATTTTCAGTTAGCAATCCTGTTTAACTTCCCATAATTCAATCTATGCAACAATGTACATTTTAATTAGAATCTTATCATTAGTTTCCCATGATTTGCTTACCTGTGTCTTAAATCAAATCTTCTGTCAGTGAGAATGAGATCATACAACTGCTGGATATGTGCAAGGCCTGGCAGAAAAATCAAGACAGCTCCTTCCATATTTTTGAATTGGGGACTTTTGTCTGTAGGGACAGAAGGAAGTAAATAAAAAAATCATTTTTATTATCAAGAAAAGTCTCATGGATATCATAGATAGGACAGACAGACACATAAGAGAGAGACTTATTACACATTAGATGTTTTCCTTAGGGAAAAAGCAAACAAAGACCAGGAGTAAGAAAGCCATTTTAAATTTGTGTTTTATGCAATTTTTCAAAAACTTACCTAAAAATGCAAGTAACTCCAGTATGAGGTCGAAGTTGATCTTGTAGGGATTCATACAGTATATGGCTTCCCGAGTTCGACTGCTATATTTTTGGAAATATGGTCCTAGCTCAATACCAGTTGCAACCTGAACCGGAACACTTTCCTACACATAACAAACAGAAATTTGGAACAATAATTTTAAAACAAAATAATGTAACAAAATAGTTTCATCTATTGCTGCACATAATAATTTTTTTTTAAAGGACCTTATGTGTAAAACAGCCTAACTGCAACATCAACTAACAGAAGACTGAATACAAATTTTTGCAACAGACCTATAAATTTTTTTGCTATCTTTCGTCTGCTACTCTGAAATGCTACACCAGAAGTGAGCAACCAAGGAACGATCCATGCCCCCAACCATATTTTTACTAGACCTCCCAATGTTATATTCAAAAGCTTAACAGCAATTTTCATTTTCAACATTTTTATTATTTTTAAAAAATAAATGTAATAAATATGTTCCTTGTCCCCTCAAATAACAAAGAAACAAAACAGCCAAGATTTTATGGCTGCCTCTTTTTGTGATATCACAATATCACCATGGTGCTTCCAGCAATCCTCAAAGGCTAATTTCTAAGGCTATCCAATGTGCCCATCCTGTGCTGTACTGAAGGCTGAAAACTCCTTTTAAATAAAGTGGGCCATTGTGTAAAATAAAGGAAGATCCCAAATCAGGAAGGGAGAAGACACCTACCTTGAACACAACTGGTAAATAGTTTTGTAACCTGACTTATTTTTTTGCACGTAAAAAGTCACCTGATACTTTGTTATTCCTCCTCCTTTGCTAGTCACATTTACAGTTATCTCTTCTTCTTCTTCCAAAAATTTCTGACAATATTGAGAATCTTTCTCCAGAACAAAGCCAGTTTCCTCTATTACATCTTCAACATGAAAAACCTGGAGTTTTATAAAGTGAAATAGTTTGGTTTTAGACACACTATTTATTTTGAAATTACATTCAGAACAACTTCCCATTAAAAAGGTACATCAATCTTTTGCCTCAGAGAAATATCACAAAATTCATCTGGGAAAGTTGCATAACTTTTAGCAATCTTGGTCTGTCTTTAAACATGGTTAACACATGTTACAAGCTGCTATTCGAACTAAAAATGACAAATGAAAAACCAGATTATTTAAAAGTAATAATTATTATTATCTTCTGGATATATTATGGAAGACCTAGCTCAGCAGAGAAGAGTCTGATACTGAGAAATAGCAATAGCAATAGCAGTTAGACTTATATACCGCTTCATAGGGCTTTCAGCCCTCTCTAAGCGGTTTACAGAGTCAGCATATCGCCCCCACAGTCTGGGTCCTCATTTTACCCACCTCGGAAGGATGGAAGGCTGAGTTGACCCTGAGCCGGTGAGATTAGAACCGCTGAACTGCAGATAACATTCAGCTGAAGTGGCCTGCAGTACTGCACCCTAACCACTGCGCCACCTCGGCTCTTTAATATGGAGGGGGGAGGTAAAAGAGGCGGAGACAAACAACAGCAAGGTGGGTAGACTTACCATGTCACCATGGGAAGACATGAAGGATTAGATTAAAGACAGATCATCAGGGAGAAAATCTATGCTCTCGAAGAGCTGACTTGATGGTATATAACCAATCAATGAATGAATATGAAATCATATCAACATTAGAAATAATTTGTGGCAGCTCATTGTGAATTTTTAATGCATCAGAGCACAGATTCAGAGATGAACAGGGTATGATATTTTCAAAGGAAAAGATAGGACATCGAATCAAGAGTTGTTATAGGAATACAATTATGCATTTACCTCTACAGGGTAACTCCTTCCTGAAATCCTTAGTATGGGACAGTGAGTGAAATAGCTGGAGAATTTTTCACTATCAACTGTGGCACTCATCAAAATGAGATGGAGATCTGAACGCTTGTGCAAGATTTCTCTCAAGATAATTAGCAAGAAATCTGATTGAACACTTCTTTCGTGAACCTTTATGAAAAGGACATAGAGGAGGTTAATACAGATGAATAACGAGGCTGCTTTTTCAGATAACTAAAAAAAGGGTTGCTAACCTCATCTACAATAACATGAGACACGTTAGAAAGAAGAATATCATCTTGCAATTTCCGAAGAAGAACTCCAGTTGTACAGTAAAGCAGTCTCGTGGCCTCTCCTGTTCGCGATTCCATACGGATTTGATAACCACACAAGGAATTCTTAGAGAAGAAAACAGAAGGCTTATCTAAAATAAACTTATTGTGATTAGAACTTTTCATTATTATTAGAACAGGCTACTGTATTCCTATATTAATTCACAAACATTGAAAAAAATGGATCCCATAGCAGGTGCAAGTAGTTTTATAGCAATGCCCTATTTTTAGTCCATCCCAGCAGAAAGAGATGCCATCTAGTCTTTTCTATTTGCGTTTTTTAAGGACATGTAACAGTTTCTATACAAGATCAACTCTCTGATTTAATGTTTTAAAAATATAACAAATATTTCAAAGAGACTAACATAGAAAGATGCTTCCTCAAAAGAGAAATTTCTTATAAACTGACTAAAAAAATTCAGTACAAACTTAAAAGTGTAAACTTGGTCTGTTTCTGGATGAGCTTCAAATGTAACACTATTCTGTTCTTCAGTTTGCCAGATAATAATACCGCTGCATCACAATTACTGATGCACAACTAATTCTCTAAGGAATTAAAATTACTACTGAATGGTAAGCTATCATTTTTTTTCTTATGATCTCAACATTCTTTTGTGAAATTCCTCTAAGCCATAAATGGAAATTTATTCCATTATAAACTGATATTTTTAGGAGCTGTCCTATTATATTCTCTAAAAAGTAGTCTTTGGAACATAACTGTAAGAATGTCTTACTCTTCCACCAGGTCCACTTTCACACCCCAGTTCTTCACAAACTCTAGTTGCCAAGCTCACTGCTGAGATCCTCCGTGGTTGGGTGCAAACAATATTGCATTTATTCAAACTTCGTTCATTATGTAGCAAATCTTCTAACAAGAAATGTGGAACTTGAGTGCTTTTACCACTACCTGTTTCCCCAGCCACAACGACAACTCGATGCTTTTTTAAAGTTTCTATGAGGGTATGTTTATATTTAAACACTGGCAGTTGCTCTCTCTCCTTTAGAAGTCTTTGGTATCTGGAAGAACTCTGTTGTTTTTTAAAGAGAACTCTCATAGGTTCTAAGTCATCTGTAAATGAGGTCTTAAGAGAAAGCCCATTAAAGTCCTCTTCAGAAATTAAGTTCTCCCAAGAGTCTTCTGCATCTTCTGAAAGTTTGGGCTTGCCTTCAAATTGCTGTGGTGGTGGTGGCTGCTGCTGCTTCAGTTTGTTCAGCAGTCTGGCAATGAACTGATCACGAGGTTTGTTGTTTTCCGTCTTGTTTTCTTCTTCTTTTTTCTTTTCTGCATCACTCCATTCTAGCCAAACATCTCTATATGTAGGAGGAAGTAACTGATGCACCGACTGAAGAGGAGACACAAAAAGAAATGCTTTAAGGTATGCTTTGGAATAAATTACCGTATGTATTATAATATTTATTTACTAAGAAATGTTACTATATTAAATAAAACTGATTTTAGATAAATATGCATAAGGACTGCTGTCGTAATCTTATTTGGCTCAAAAGTAAGAGAAGCCTTTTTTCAATATTTTAGGTGGTTCCTAAAATTAATATAACTTCCTCTTACATTCCGAAAAGGTACGCCCTATAATTTTGACACATAAGCCCAAGATTTTTTTGTTATTTTTTAACAGAAACTTCTGAAAACTCTTCAATGTACTTTTGAATCATGTGCATAGTGAAACTTTAACAGGATAGTAATGAGGTATAGACCTGTTACTTCTAAATGTCTACTATAGCCAGATTTACACTCTAATGATCTTCCAGAAATTATTTTTTAGTATGTCTGTGTGTGTTTTATAGATATAAGATACAGTATGTGCATGTGTGTGTGTGTGTGTGTGTGTGTGTGTGTGTTTGTGTGTGTGTTTTACAGATATGAGCCACCAGGAGACAATGAAGGTTGTGCAGGAGCATAAAAATTCAACAGCATAATGACATGATGTATTTGAACAGTGGATTTTACATTAGTGATTTTGAAAAGATAGCACCTGGGCTATTCAATTTTTTTTTTCTAGGGGTTGAGACTAAGAAGTTCTGCTACATAATGGCTTCTTTAAGTTATGGTATAGGTTTCTGGTTTTCTTACAAAGAGAAATGCTTAATGTCACCATGCCAAGCTCTCCAACAATTTCAGTTGGACTTATCTGGGTTTGTCTGTATCTGAATGCTAGTTATTATTTTGAAAATGTTTAAGTCACAACTGCATCAAATACTACCTGATTAAAAATAGAACAAAATAAACAAGAAATGTTACCATTAAAAAACTCCATAAGGTTAAAAGCAGTCAGATCCATCAGACTGCAAAGCTATAAGAGTCACCATTCCCTACATTAATCACCAAAATATTGATTGTGCATACTGTATATGCCATCATTCCTTTTCAGCAAATGATTAAAAACATTTTTATTGGGAATTATAAAATCTCACCTGCCCTTTTGTCAATTGATACAAAGCTAACGTAGCAGCCAGATGTTGAGCCTGCATACTATCTTCTGTAACGATTGTGGGACACACCACCAATGTATCATCAGCTGACTTGATCACTCTTACCCTTAAAAAATAGTTAATTTAAGCTTAATAAAAGTAATATATTAAATGACAACTTTGAATGGCAAGTCATATGGCATCCAAAACACTCACAACATGTTCTCAAAATTCCAAATAGCATGAGCTTCAGTCACTTCAGCAAAATATAAGCCACAGATTGGTTCATGAAATGACAAATAATACATTTTGTACAATTGATTTTAATATATAAGCAAACTATTATATCACTGAAACAAGCCATATTTCTTATTCAAATAACATAAGCTGCACAGAGTTGTCATGAGTCAGGTAATACATAAACTCCATAAAAAAATAACATTTATAAGTAATTGGTTATCAATGTCAGCTGTATAAACAAATTCCAAATTTGATATACCATATAATTTCGGAGTATAAGATGCACCAGAGTATAAGACACACCAAGGTTTTGAAGAGGCAAATTTTTTTAAAATAGTTTTTTCACTCTGCAAACCTCCCAAAAACGACCCCGTTTTTCCCTCCCAAAAAAAGGGGGGGCATGAATAGCCTTTAGGAAAGTTGTAGAGTGCTCCTGTGGGGTGGGGTGGGGCAAAAAATGAAAAAAAAAACATTTTTTGTGAAAATGGGCCCGTTTTTTGTCAAAAAAAGGACATGGATAACCTTTAGGAGGGTTATAGAGTGCTCCTGGAGGTTGGGGGGGGGGGCAAAATTTCTGCCCTCCCCAGCTCTCAGGAGCTCTTTGAAAGCCTCCTAAAAGCTATGCACGGCCATTTTGGTGAAGGGGCGGGGTTTCAGGAGGCAAAAACTGCTGTATTCAATGTATAAAACACACAGATTTTCAGCCTCTTTTTTGAGGGACAAAGGTGCATCTTATACTCCGAAATTATATGGTATATCAAATTTGGAATTTGTTTATACAGCTGACATTGATAACCAATTACTTATAAATGTTATTTTTTTATGGAGT